TGACTTAAAAGAGGCCTGAGAGGGCCCTTTAGGGCCATGCTGGCCCAGACCAACCAGCATATATGTTTGTCTTTCCCATTCCCTCCTTCTCTCATCTTTAACATCCCTTTCTTGGCTAAGACTGTACGGGCTTTTCTCAGTTTTAAATTCGGGACTTCAGCCAATTCCTGTCCTGCTTGAGGAAGTTTATAATAGCTATTCTAAGAGAATGGATGGAAGTGGAGACTTGGCCAAGCAGGACAAGGCCCACAGTGCCTGTTTGCCCAGCTGCACAGTGAAGACAGACATAGGGTGAAGGTGTGCCTTAGAGCCCAGGCTCTGGCATTGGATGTGACTGGCACTCTAGGCCTCTCAGTCTTTGTTCTGCAGAGAGAGACAGCCATCTTGTCTCCGTCAGCAGTTATCTCTTGGAAAAGGAGAAATAAGGAAATGTCTTGAGTCAAAAAGTACTTACGTGTTTTGTGTTTTTTTAAAGTATAATGCTACAATGCTATTGATCTACAAACCATACTTTGATAGCAAAGTGCTATGATACAAGCAAAAATACCCAAATATCTGATACATTTTTGTAATGATGAATATGCTAATTACCCTGATTTGATTATCACACATCGCACAAATGTATTGGAATATAACTCTACTCCATAAATATGTACAACTAATATGTGTCAATTAAAAAATAAATAAATAGATACATTTTTGTAATGATGAATATGCTAATTACCCTGATTTGATTATCACACATCGCACAAATGTATTAGAATATAACTCTACTCCATAAATATGTACAACTAATATGTGTCAATTAAAAAATAAATAAATTCATTTTTTAAAAGTATGATGCTAACCATTTTTTTATACATGTTTTTATTTGGGGGTTTTATTTGACAGGTTTTTTTTAAATGTTTTTCTATAACTGATTTTATTTTATTTTTTAAGCAAACCTTTTTTTTATTTGTCATGAATATCCATGAGATACAAAGCTGATTGTCACCACTTGTTCCCAAGATGTGATGGCTAGATCCATACTGGCAGCATTCCCATTACCACAGATTGCAATTATACCGCATGTCCCCCACCCAATTATCCCCAACATCCTTCCTCATCCCCTTTACCCTACTCTACTTTGTATCCCTAGGTATGCTCTCTCCCTCTGTAAGTCCAACAGACCACTGTGGTCTTCCTTTCCTTCCTTTTTTCTCTCTTAGTTCCCACTTAACGAGTGAGTACATGCAGTATTTATCCCTCTATGCTTTGCTTATTTCACTCAGCATAAATTTCTCCAAGCTCAACCACGTTGTTGCAAATGGGAGAATTTCATTCTTTTTAATGGCAGAGTAGTATTCCATGGTGTATATCTACACAGTTTCCTTATCCTATCATTCATCAATGGAAATTTAGGTTGGTTCCATATCTTGGCAATTGTAAACAGAGCTGCAATGAACATGGGAGTGCAGATATCCCTTCGACATGATGATTTCCATTCCTTTGGATATATACCCAGAAGTGGGATTGCTAGATCGTATGGAAGATCTATCTGTAGTTGTTTGAGAAACCTCCATACTGTTTTCCATAGTGGTTGTACTAATTTATAGTCCCACCAACAGTGTAGGAGTACTCCCTTCTCTCTACACCTTTGCCAGCATTTGTTATTCTCTGTCTTTTTGATTATAGACATTCTAACTGGGGTGAGATGATATCACAATGTGGTTTTAATTTGTATTTCCCTGATGACTAGTGATGTTAAGCATTTTTCATGTACCTGTTGGCCATATGTATGTCTTCCTTTGAAAAACATCTAATCAGCTCTTTTGCCTATTTTTTAATTGGGTTATTGGTTTTTACTGTATAATTGCTTGAGTTCCTTGTATATTATGGATATCAATCCCTTGTTGGATGCATAGTTAACAAAAATGTTCTCCCACTCTGTAGGTTGTCTTTTCACTCTGTTGATTGTTTCCTTTGCTGTGCAGAAGCTTTTGAGTTTGATACAGTCCCATTTGTTTATTTTTCTTTTGTTGCCTGTGCTTTCAGGCTCTTGTTCATAAAGTCTGTGCCCAGACCTAGTTCCAGAAGTGTTTCACCTATATTTTCCCTTAGTAATTTTACAGTTTCAGATCCTATACTGAAGTCTTTAATCCATTTTGTGTATAATTTTAGTACATGGTGAGAGATGCATGTCTAGTTTCATTCTTCTGCATATGGATATCCAGTTTTCCCAGCACCACTTATTGAAGAGGCAGTCTTTTCCCCAGTGTAGGTTTTTGTTACCTTTGTCCAATATCAGATGACTGTAAGCCTGAGGGGTGATTTCTGGGTTCTCTATTCTGTTCCACTAGTCCAAGTGTCTATTTTTATGCCAGTGCCATGCTGTTTTGCTTACTATAGCTTTGTAGTATAATTTGAAATCAGGTAGTGTTATGCCTCCGGCTTTATATATTTTTTGCTTTGGATTGCTTTGGCTATTTGGGGTCTTTTGTTGTTCCATATGAATATTAAGATCGTTTTTTCCATTTCTGTGAAGAATGTCATTGGTATTTTGATGGGGATTGCATTGAATCGGTAGAATCGCTTTGGGTAGTATAGACATTTTCACAACGTTAATTCTTCCAATCCAAGAGCATGGAATGTCTTTCCATCTTTTTGTGTCTTCTTTCATTTCTTTTAGTAGTGGTTTGTAGTTCTCATTGTAGAGATCTTTCACCTCCTTGGTTCAATTGATTCCTAGGTTTTTTTGGGGGTTTTGTGTGTGTGTGTGACTGTTGCAAATGGACTTATTTTCTTGATTTCTCTTTCTGCTAGTTGATTAAGAATATAGGTGCTACTTATTTGAGGGCATTGATTGATATCCTGCAACATTACTGAAATTATTAATCAGCTCTGAGGGATTTTTTTGTGGAGTCCTTAGGTTTTGAATTTTTTGATAGAGTCTTTAGGTTTTTCTATATATAGTATCATGTCATCTACAAATAGGGACAGTTTGACTTCATCTTTTCCAATCTGGATGTCCTTTATTTCTTTCTCTTGCCTGATTGCTCTGGCTTGTACCTCCAGTACTGTCTTAAATAGAAGTGGTGAGAGTGGGCATCCTTGTTTTTTGACAGTTTTTTTATTGAAACATAATTGATTCTATATGTTTGTGGGGTATGGAATTGAATGTCAATACATGTGTACAATATGTGGTGATCAAATCAGGATAATTAGTATACTCATGTTTATAAAATATAAGCAGTCTTTGCCTCCCTTAACAAATTTCTTGGTAACCTTCCCCCTCCTCCCCCTTTCCCACCTCTAATAACCACAGTTCTGTTCTTTTTTGAAACTTCAATGTATTATTGTGATGGTTTCTTTCTTACTTACTTTCTTTATTTTACAGTATACAACCCAATGTTAAAAGTTACATATATATGTATATAGTAAAATGGTTACTACAGTGGAACAAATTAGCATATCCGTCATCTCAGTGGTTACTAGAGGCAAGGAGAGGGAGGAAGAAAGGGGAGTTGGGGAGAGGTTGGTAAAGGGGTACAAAGTTACAAAGTTACAGTTAGATAGGAAGGATAAGATCTGGTGCCCCAGGGTGACAGTAATAATAATATCGTATATTTCCAGTTAGCCAGAAAAGAGGATCTTGAATATTATAAACACAAATCATAAATGTTTAGGTGGTAGTTATGCTAACTGTTCTGACTGGATCATTATAAAATACACGCGTGTAATGAAACAACAAAGTGTACCTCGTAAAATGTACAATTAAAAAAATAAGTTAAAAAAAAAAAAAAGTACTTAGGGCCAGCCCATGGCTCACTTGGGAGAGTGTGGTACTGATAAGACCAAGTCAAGGGTTAAGATCCCCTTACCAGTCATCTTTTAAAAAAAAGAAAAAAAATACTTACATGAGGGCATTTCTTCTATGTAATGATGTGAGTCCAGGACTGTGCCTCCTCTGGAAGCTCCTAGAGGAGAGCTAACACCCCCACCTTTGAAATGCAGTGATTTTGTTTGTTTGTTTTACTCAGTTATAATTGTTGAGTATTTGTTAGACTAAAACTGGCTGGGAAGGAAGGACTTTGACAAAAGTTATTCAGTTTCTTGAAGTCAAAATCTCCCCCAGTGTCAGAACTCTGATTACCCTCAAAAAGTGTTCTGTATTTACTGAGTAACTTGGGTACATTCAGTGCAGCAAGCCATGAAACCAGTACGGTCATGTGCTGGATAACAACGTTTTGGTCAATGATAGACCACATATGTGACGATGATCCCATGAGATTATAATACTGTATTTTTACTGTACCGTTTCTAAGTTTAGATATGTTTAGATACACAATTACTTACCATTGTGTTACAATTGACTATAGTATTTAGTATAATTACATGCCACACTGGTTAGTAGCCCAGGAGCCACAGGCTGTACCATATAGCCTAGGTGTGTTGTACGCTACAATACCATCTAGGTTTGTGTCAGTACACTCTATGATGTTCACACAATGACAGAATCACCTAATTACAAACTTCTCAGAATGTATCCCTGTCTTAAGCAATGCTTGACTCTATGTGAACCCAGACCTTTTAACCTCAAAGTTCAAACAGTTACATATGTGGCACTGAACTATGTCCACATTTATTTGTCCATTATTGAATACTGAGCTCCTAGAATGGTGCTTGACATGTGCAAGGCATTTTGATAAGTATTTATTAAATAAATTAAACAAATATTGTTATGATAGTCTTGTGTTTTGATTCAGTCCAGTGACTCTGAGAGCTAACCAATCACGTGTAGTTTTAGCAGTGTTACGTGCTCATGGCAGAGATGACTCTGCCTTCTAATGTTTACTCATTTATTTTTGTATCACACTGTGTAGCCATTCTTTCTCTTATTACATTTTTATTTTTATTTTTCAAATTTATTAGTAATAGTAAGGGATGATGGGGCTTCTGGTATCCTGTTTTGTCTCGTCTGTTGAATTAATCTCTGGGGTGGGGGTTTGGATATTTTACAGCTTTTGGATCTCTTCATCCAATGGGATTGGTCAACCTACCTGGCTGATTATGGTCAGCCCAACTGCAAGTATCTCCGGGTAAACCCAGTGACAGCTCTGACCCTGCTTGAGAAGTGAGTACTCAGTTCAATGGTCTGTGTTGGGGGGGATTGGGTGGGGAATGGGAATCGGGGGATTAAAAGATAATTTTCCTGTTGCCAATACCTTGAAAGACAGCCTTGTACTTGAAGTTGCCATGGGTGGTATCAGTAGTCTCAGTCATTAGACTTAGCAGGCCAGTCTTCTTCTAGCCTCTTAATTCCTGAGCCCCAACAAGCTAAGCCAAGTATGGGTCAGAATTAGATTCAATGAGGCAAAATGTTTTTAAGTAAAGATGACAAGAAAAGAAAGGAAGATGGCTTAGTTTGGAGCTTGGGCCAGCCTAGTGAACAGAATGAGGCTGGCCCCAGTATTAATGGAACCTTCACCCACTCCCATGTCCTGCCTCCTGTCAGACTGAGCTTTGCTGTGCTGACTGTCCCAAGAAAGCTGTGTTGGCAAAGGTGTCTCAGTCTTGCCTTAGGCAGTCATTAGCTAGCAAAGGTTGCCTTACCACAGAGCTGTACCCTCTCTGAAGCAGAGATGCTACCACTGAACGTCCTGCCTCCTGTCAGACTGAGCTTTGCTGTGCTGACTGTCCCAAGAAAGCTGTGTTGGCAAAGGTGTCTCAGTCTTGCCTTAGGCAGTCATTAACTAGCAAAGGTTGCCTTACCACAGAGCTGTACCCTCTCTGAAGCAGAGATGCTACCACTGAAATTGGGTTAGCCAGCCCCAGAATATCTCAGGGCTAACCAATATGTCACCCAAAAGCTGGGATTTACTATGCATTGCAGCCTGGCTCTGGCTTTTGATAACCTAGTTGGGAGTCAGCAGACAAGAGACCAAGACCACCATAAAAGGGCAGCTTTCTCTTGTAATCAGAACGACTAGTTGATCCCCAGCTGCTCAAAATAATGCCCTATATCTAAGCAGTGTAGAAAGTCTATATAAATGGCCAGTCAAGTATGTCTCAAATCCTAGGAAGGCAAGGCCTAGGGCATAGGCAGTCAGAGTAGAGCCTTAAGAAGAAGGGGATGCCGAGGTATATTCTTCTTACTAGGTAATATTATACTGGGAGTGAAGGGGAAGAGATGGAGGGTAACAAGAGCAGGATATGGGGATGTGTGTTTGGAGCCAAGAGACTAAGAAACAAGAGTGCAGTTTTCTCCTGACCGTCAGGTACAGATGTTTCCATTTTAACTCTGTTTCCCATGGTTCTCTCTCCCAATGACCTTTCTTCATAGGATATCTAGAGAGTAAGTATATTATTCACTTGGGTCTTTTCCATTACTTTGAGGCAAGTCCTTCTGGTTTCCTCATTGACACTAATGACTACATTAAAATCCCTACCCTGTAAGTTGTCCCCGCCCTGACCTACTAATCTACTAAACCAGCCTGGTGCCATCTGGCTGACTGCCTCCTCTATCTTTGGTTCTTAGAGTGACCCTTGGCTTACTAATTCCTTTGGGGCTGGGAGTGGCAAGGATTTTGGTGGTAAGGATTTTCCCCCATCAGTGCCAGGTAAAGGGTTGTTCCCACTCAGCTTTCTGGCACTCTTAATACTCTTGCTAGCGTAGGAACTGAAATTCAGCCCTAACAAAAGAGAGTTCCTCAGCAGTCTCCCCTACCTCCTGGTGGTAAGGCCCATGGCTTTACAATCTGGAATGTACATCTTCCATAGAAGACTCTTCATTAGAGGCCAGGCTTAATCCCAGAGTTCTCAGTACTCAGCTAAAATTGGGGGGACATTTTTGCCTTTGAGTTGATACTTAAATGGTCATTTTGATGATATATCCAAATGGGCTCTGGGAATCCTTCCAGTCAGTTACTTCTCTCAGCAGTCCTTTACTCCTCTGATCCTGAGAGTCTCTATATCCAGAAAGTACTGGCTCATCCATTTCTTCGGGATCAACAATAGGCTAAAATAATCAGCCTCTCTCTACCATTTTAGAGGCCTAGCCAGTAACAAAGCTATGTGTTCAGCCCTAGCAGTCAGCAGGGTTTAAAAGCTTCTTTCCAAACACAGTAAGACAAAGGCCTCTCAGATCACTAAAATCTACATTTCCCAGCCTCACGGGAATCAATACCCTTACCTAACTCATTCCTGCTTTCCCCACAGCCAGCTGTGCCACCAGAGCTTGACCTTTCTCTTCTTTTCAACCTAGTCCTTCTTAGCAGGGTGAAACATAGAAAGACCCAAAGACCTGCTAAAGATATTCTGGAAAAAAGAGAGGTCCTTGTGTCATTGAGAGGGGGCCATAGCTAGAGTAGAAAAGGATCCTGGGCTTACAGAATGGGAGGAAAGGTGAGAAGACTCTCTTTTGGTTTTGGAGCATTCCTGGGCACAAACCAACATGCCATCATCAGCCCTCAGGGCACTTGAATTTATCTGTACAGTGCCTAATCCCAACTCCAGGCCTCAGTGACCAAGAAATCCCAGCCTCTGGAGCTAAAAACTACCCTCTTTTTCCCTTTCTCCTAGGCATTACAGGGGCCTCCCTATGGGAACTGAAAGCCAGGTCTGCTGCCTGTCCCTGGGCAGAGTCATAAAATTATTGATTACGTAGGACACTAAACTAAATGTTTTATGAATACAGGAAATGTTTTTCTTTGTTTAAACTGAAAGCCAGGTCTGCTGCCTGTCCCTGGGCAGAGTCATAAAATTGATTACGTAGGACACTAAACTAAATGTTTTATGAATACAGGAAATGTTTTTCTTTGTTTCTTCTCTCTTTTTTGTTTGTTTTGTATTGTTCTTGTTTAGATTTATAACATACCCAACAGAGGAAAGGGAATCCTTTTCTGGAATAAATAATCCAAAACCAGGCCAGTTCCATGAATATAATTATGCAGTTAGTGTGTAAGGGACCAAATACACTCATCATCAGAGCCTTAAGGATCCTTGTGCTTTGTCTTTAACCAAGCCTGGTCACCTCTTCTTTCTCTACTCTAAGCACAGACCTCTACATATGGGTGGTCGTACCTTATATTCAGTGTTTTGAGTTTCCTTTATGAGTGATTACAGCCTGAAGGCCCTTGAACTTAGATCAGGGAGAGAAGTCTCAATTAGTTTGTGACTGTCACTGTCAGCCAGAGCCATACAACTTGGTGTTCATCAGAACCTCCTTGCCACATATAATGTCCTTATGGAATATATATACAAGGGGTCTTCAAAAACTTCATGGAAAGATTTGTATTATCATTTTTTTTTTCCTTTTTGTCTTTTTTTCATGTCCGGCAACGGACCGCAACCCTCAGTGTCGCGCCCGTACCGGACCGGGACCGGCAACGGGATCGCAACCCTCAGTGCTGCGCCCGCCCCTCGCTCAGCCAGTGAGTGGGAACCGGTCTGTATGTGGGATCTGAACCCTCGGCGGGAGCGCTGCCACGCTCCCAAGCGGCGCACTGTAGCAGTGCGCCACCGGGCTGGCCCCTGTATTATCATTTAATTCCATTTTTCTACAAACATTGTGAAGTACCCTTGTGTGTCATATATTTGTATTATATATATCAGATATAAATCAGATGAAAAATGCTCTTGTGGGATCTCTGGCCTTTTGACTTACTGGTCTTTAATCTTCACCATTGCAAAGGGTCACCCACAGGCAAAAAAAGGCCCAGGATTAGCTAAAGGTCCCAGGGAAGTATACCTGGGCATAATTTATACCCCAGTGCCGGGTTCCTTCCCTCCCCTCTTGTAGACTGTCTTCATGCAGCCCAGGGAGCAGTGAAGTTAGAGAGCTGGCCCAGCTCCTTTCTCTGTCCCAGGGAGAAATTGATCTGGTCACTGTTCTTAATCCTCTAACACTAGAACTAGCTATGGGTTGGGGGTCTGGTGTACAGAGACCAGGAACAGAGTTAATGCCCACCAGTAGATGTGATTGTGGGCTCTCTGCAGGGAATAGCAGATTCCTGGATTCTGTAACAGTGGCTTGGTCAGACTGGGGAGTTCTGTGACAATATCAGCCTAGTCTTGATCTTCTTTATTGCTGCTTCCAAGTTAGGGCTCTTCATCTGACAGGATCATTGACCAGAGCTGCCCATGGTTTGTGCTCTAGGAATACGTCACCTGTGGAGCAATAGCATGATCCAAAGGTCACAGATCTAAGGATATAAACAGCCACTGAGAACTCAGGGCTTCTCTTGCTGAAAGCCCTAGTTTATCAAGTGAGAGGATAGCCCAGCCCTTTGGCACCTGCTTTCCTCAGCACCATACCGTCTTAGCCACCTCACTGCCTATCAGCCCTTACTCTGAAACAAAAGAAAAGAGATCAGTCATGCCCTTAGTTTTGTTAAAGATGGGTTAGAGTAACCAGCTAGAGTGAGTTTTGGAAATATGCATGGCTTTCAGTTATTTATGTCCTCTTGGAATTGCTAGTTAGGAGCATCTTTCATGCTTAACCTTTCAATTACCATTGCTAAGGTCCCAGCAGGATTTAGTAGGCTTGTAAGGTTATGAATGGATCCTAGATATTCTGTAAGAGCCTGCTGACCAGAAGGACTGTAGCATGTCCCAGACACCTATAATAGGTACATATTGGGGGAGAGAAGTGAATGAATTAGGTGGGGTGGTTATGGGGGATCAGGAGGTTGGCCCCTCCAAAGCTGGCTCTTCACTATTTTCCAGAAGTGACTAAAGTTGGGAGGGCTGTGGGTGCCAGAAGAACAGCTTCCTGATCAGTAGGTAAGTATGGGCCTGACGACAGAAGTATTCTGGACTCTCTCACTCTGAGTATTGGTTGAGATGCATTATACTATCCTTTGTCCTGCAAGTTCTCCTTCCGCCATTGTCTTCTCAAACACTTTGCCCTCTTTCTTTCCTTTTATGTTTAGGATGAAGGATACTAGCCGCAAGAACAACATGTTTGCACAGTTTCGGAAAAATGAACGAGACAAGCAGAAACTGATTGACACTGTGGCCAAGCAGCTCCGAGGACTCATCAGCAGCCACCACTCATGAAGGCTGGTCCTGGGCATACATAGTCTGGGATCCAGCCTGGCTGGCCTAGCATTTGTGCATTCTTCTTCAAAGAGAACATATGTATTTTTTTATTAACCCCTGTACAGTATTCACATTACCTTTCCCTGTAGTAAAAGAGTCACAAAAATAAGCAAGTACATGAGATGTTGCTAGGCTGGGACTCAGAGGAAGTTATTACTACTCTATCTGTATTATCCTAGAGATAGTGGTATCATCAATCCCAGTGTGATGAGCCACCTTTCACCCACGGTTCTAGAGCTTAGGTCTGGAGCTTAAGAACTACATAAACAAAGTGGGTGCTTGGTGCTAGAAGGTAAGGTGAGTAAGTCAAAGGATAATAAGGTATATCCTGTTCACTCTTGGGTGCCCCGTTCACCACATAGATGAGGCTGATTCTTCTTGACACAAGGAAAGGGCCTGGAAAACATTACTATTTAGTACACTAAAGGCCAGCACACAGTTCTGGATGTTCATTGTCCAGTTCATTGTCCGCTGACTTTCATTGGCTGGTGAACAAGGGTAACACGGGGCAAGATGACAGCTTCACTCCAGTCCCCTAACAATGGCAGTTTCTTTAGCCTAGATCTTGCTCAAGGCTATTAATTGCTAATTTTTCTGGGGTGGGATAGAGCTGAATAGGCAGCAGTAATAATTGGACCCACATGATTAACTGCAGGTTGCCCCCACACTAGGGGTGTTGGGTCTCAGCCTCAGGAGTTTTTGTGCATCTTGAAATCCAGTTTGAATGGAATCAGAGCTCCAGTCCCTTCCCCATTCCTCTCATTTCCTTCTTTCATAGTCAGAGCACTTGGTTCAGGGAATAAGTCAACAGTTATTTCCATAGTTCCTCACAGAGAGTCTCAGACTTGGCCTCCTCCAGCAATGTCATTGGGATAGGTCAGATCTCACAAGCCTGAAAATAGCCCTTACTTTACCCTTAGGTAAAACTTGAGGATTACTCAGTTCCTTCATATTTTAAAACCGGCTTTCTAGCTACCATCATTAAAGGAATTGTCACCAGCTCTGCACTGAGGGGGCAGCCACAGCTGGACTGGATTCCTCTAAGGATGGAGTCAATGTCACCATGAAGTAGAAAGGGCCAACCATGGCTAGTGGCTTGTTGCCTCTGGTCCAACTGTCCCTCACTACATTATATCCTGATTATGAAGCTCTTTTTGCTCAAGTCCAAGGCGTTCATCTTCTTTCAAGATCCCAAAAGCCATCTTTTGGCCTCATCTGAGAAAAATTGCCTATAATACTATCCCTTAAACTTTGGAGACTAGACCAGCTTCACTTAGAAGCTGTGTCCATTGTCCCAGATAGACTCCTAAGACTTAATGCAAGGGCTTTGCTGTGTGGTCTGTCAAAGGAACCTGCACTTTAAGACACTTCAGGAAGATACTCTTATGGCTTCTGGCAAGAGTATAATTGTACATCACCAAGCAATGACAAATAAGCTACACAGGCATTTCCAGCTTGGATTAGTGGGAGGAGAGACTCATCAAATAGAATTCTTCACTACCTTTGTGAGCTACTGACTTGCTTCTGGGAGGACAGTGCTTCCTTTTTTGTTCCCTACCCCCTACCCTCACCACATCCTATCACATCTTGAAAACCATGTGGAAGAGAATATGCACACAGATATACAACCTTTCTCAAAGCTGGAGAGACCAGGCTATATGTGAGCTCTGCAGAAACCTGTTGAGGCTCATCCTGAGGGCTAGACAGTTGACCCAGGGTTTTAGGATGAGGGTCAGAGGTAAGAACTACCACATGGAACTTAATAATAAGCCAAAGGAAGGCAGGGACCTGTGGAAATTAGATCCAAGATGGCATCTCCAAGCCTTAGAGTATGTTGAAAAGAGTGAGAAATGCTTCTACTAGTATGAAGTCCTATTGCTTGAGAAGGACCCAAAACCCATCTATCACTAGGACCCAGTTTGCAGCAAGATCTCTTCAGCTTTGAGTGGTGAGACTCTGAAGTGGGAATGGAGAGAAGCTTAAGCATATCACAGTGTTTGTCTTTTTAGAAAGTCACCATTGCTGATCTGCTCTCAAACCTCTACCCTGGATGACCTGTGCTGTGGTGGAATAGGGATTTACCCTGCACCTTCAATACACAAGTCTTACTAATGAAAAAGCTTATTCAAGCTCAGAACTCAAAGGATGGACCCTCTGGTGTACCTCCTCTTCCCTCAGCCTGCCTTCACTCTTCCCTAACAAAAAACAGCACACTCCTACTGAGTTGTATGTAGAGACATATTCTTGGTGGGCCAGGGAAGGTAAAAATGGACCAGCAATGTCAAAGTTTTTTGAATTGGTGAAGTGGGATGTTCTCAGTTTTGTTATATGCTTGTAGCTGGGTCAGTCCTTCAGAGCATATGTGCCCACGCCCCCTGATTCCTTCGATATGGCATCAAATACCTAGAGACATAGAAGTGCCCTGGAGAGTCTCAATAAAAGGGCAAGAACATAGGTGGCTGGAAGCCTGACTACCTTCTGGTCAGTATAAACCTTTGGCCAAGTTCTTAAGGAAACCAGGTTTATGTTCTTGAAGGGACAGTCTGGTTTAGGACCCTAGTGGGTTTCAGTAGTATAAGGCAGCTTGCATAGTTTAACATTCATATGAAAATCTCTTTGAGTAAACAATAAATGAAGCTGTTGGGGGTGGGGAAGAACAAGAATTGGAAACTGGAATCAGCAGGAAGTCCCTGTCGGCAAAGGGAATACACAGCTTCTGGGAAGAGTTCCGCAGTGTTTTTATTGCATACCAGGCCTAACAGTCTCCCAGTCCTCAAAGTCAGCCTAGCTTCACTGCACACTTGACAAGTGCTTGCTCAGCAGGTCCCAGAACCCAGGGTCCTTCATCCCCCTAGATTAGCATCGGCCATGACTTTACTCATCAGGCTTCTGCACACTCCCTGGGGCCTGCTGCAGAAATCTCCCTGCCTTAGCCTCCCTTTCCCCAGGACTCTTCTCCTGAACCCTTTAATTGCCTCTTCTTTTTTTTGCTTTTGTTTTTTTGTTTTGTTTTGCCTGCATTTGCAATTACTTTTCACTAATATGTTGGAAATGGCCTTTTTATTTTGCACAAATCATTGCACATTTATGAAGAAAATTTAGTAAAGTCCATTTTTAACTCTAAAGGGAACTTTTTTCTCTAAAACTGACTAGTAAAGCTACTGATACAGAGGGGCCATATGGTTAGGGAAAAGCTCCTCTGTGGAAAGAGCATGTTTACTCATCTTGTACATTTTCTTCTTTTAACTGCTATTAAACAAGAGAGCCTACATACCTGTTTCAAAAGCCACGGTGTTGTCTCATGGGTTTTTTGTTCTTCCATCCCTTTTCCACAGTGCAGCTGTGGTTGGTGAACTGGATGGCAGACATTGCATCTGCACTCAGTTGAACTGAGGACAAGAGCAGGCAAGAGCCTGGTGGGAAAGAGAAAGCCTGTCTGCCACACAAGGCAAGGAGCTATATTGTGGCCCTGAAAATGACCCTAATCACTGGGCTTTGTTTTACAGTCTATACAGCTAACACTGTCATCATATCATCATCAAAAGGAATAACTTTTGAAATGCCTGATTTATGTCCAGTACTGGAGTAGGCAACTTGGGGCCAAGTGTGTTTCCCAGCCCTGCCATAGAAAGGCTCCCAGTCAAGAAGGAGTGATGTAGGATTATCCAGAGCAAAGCCAAGCTGGGGAAGGCGGAGAGAAGAGCCTATTTTAGAGCTCAGTCAGGGAGAGAAACAGGCTCCTCGGCCTGGTATGGGAAAGGGTCTTGTCAGGGAAGACAGCACAGAGAAAGCAGGATGTTAATTAGTGAATTGAAGGAATTCAATTCAAACTTTGCTAAGCTATTGGGAATATTTTAGGTGCAGACCACATTAGAGTACGAAGTTGGCACAAGCCTGACACGTACTGGGAGGATAGTGAAGAACCTGCTAGGCACATCTGGAATCATGGTGAGACCAGAAATAATCAGTGTAGCAACACCCAGCCTGCTTGCCCCCCAGGCTTGCATGGAAGCCATGGGAATAGGCTAGGAAGAATTTCTTAAAGTTGGCACAAGCCTGGCACGTACTGGGAGGATAGTGAAGAACCTGCTAGGCACATCTGGAATCATGGTGAGACCAGAAATAATCAGTGTAGCAACAACCAGCCTGCTTGCCCCCCAGGCTTGCATGGAAGCCATGGGAATAGGCTAGGAAGAATTTCTTCAGTAGCAAGTCTGACTACTGCAACTGGGTTTTGATGTCTGGGAGACCTGGGCTTTGATCCCTGCATTGTCATTTACTAGCTGGATGACCTTGAGCAATTACTTAACTAACTCCCTAAATCTCATAATCATCATCAGGGAAAGCAGAATGGTAGTCCCTAACTTACAGGATTGTTGTGAAGTGTAAACGAGCTATCAAAGTTCAAAATGCTTAGCCAGTTTGAAGCCATAACATAAGCACTATTTAAGGCCTTTCCTCCCTTCCCTCCAATTTCACAACATACCTCATGACTGAGCATTGGGCATAAGTGTCCAGAGCTTCTCTGCCTCCTGGCTTCCTCTCCACAAGGCCAGCACAGATTTGGTTGTAGTGACGTCCCTTAAGCGCTTGTACATGAAACAAAGGGACAATCCTTTCAAATCAGCTGACCAGCTGCCTGGTCAGAGTAGAGCCATCCTTCAGGTGGAACCTGACCCTCACACCTGGAACCTTTTCTGCTCTCACTTTACTGCCAGAATGTATACTTCCCTCTAGAACTCAGAAGTTCTTAACCAGGGGTCCAAGAACCCTTGAAGTATGTGTATGTGTGCATGTGTGTGCGCGCGCACGCATGCCCACGCCCACAGGCTTGTATCCACCCATTTTTTCTGGAAAGATTCATGGCTTCCATCAATTTCTAGGATAGAGTCATGACTAAAATACTGAATAATAAGTAAATCCCTTTGGAAATATGCATCTTCCCATGAAGGAAAGCCAGAAGCTTTGAGCAGTTACCTCCTGTCCTTGCCTATATAGCTCTGGCAGATTTTTCAACACCTGCTGTTCTGCCACCCACCTTTTCCAGGAGCCCCCACCTGAACCTCAGGTCACACCTACAGACGAATATAGCCAGTCTCCTAGCTTTCTCTCCCCATACTAGGTTGGGGTACTGAGGGGGGAAGGATGACACTCCTGAGAAGACAGAGGCTTCCAGCTGTTTGGGGAGATGACAAACAAGAGGTCCAATACAGACAGAGGCTTAGGCTGTCACAGTGAAACTGACCGTGACTCACACCAGAACATTTCTCATAGGCTCTGAGCCCTGACTGGTACAACTTCTGGCCCAAGGCCTTATCCAGAGAGGTATAAGCAGCCCTCGTGGGGTACTCTGAGGAGGAAAAATGAAGTAAAACAAAAAAACAAAACGGAAGGATGTGAAGCAGTCACAGGCTTGCCCCTTTTCTCACGGTTGGGCTGCTTATCTGCTCACCAGGCAGATGAGGGTGGGTAATAGCTAATGGGAGATAAGAGAAGGGAGGAAGAGAGTGCCAGACCCTTTCCCTAGAGGCCCTCATTTTGAGTTTAATGGGCAGTGTTTGTCTGGAATGAGAGAGCTCCAGGCCCAAGGGACCAGAAGACAAAGGCTCCTGAGGAAGTGCAAGGAGGAGGAGGAGAAAAGTGAGGCCCTGGGCATTGTGTGGAGAGCTACCCCTCTATCTGTTTCAATCGCTGGTGGGATTAGGGTTTCCCTGCATTTGGGGCCCTAGCTGCTTTGTGGGGTCTGTGACATTGGCTGTTGTGATGGTAATGGAGGGGCCTCTCTTACAGGAGGCACCCCTTCCTTGGCCAGCCTGCACCAGCTCCCAGAAAGGATGGAAGCTCCTATTCCTTTAGGGTGGGATCAGGCTGTGGGCCCAGACAACATCCCCCCTCCCTGTCTGAACCCACTACTAAGTGTACCTTCCAAGCCCAAGCTATGACCTTCCTCTCTCCAAAGCTCCAGAAAAGGAATGGAATCTGAACATTGAGACGCTTTTCTGGCCCTAAACAATCCTCCCATTCTCTAGGCTCAATGATGGGTCTATTTCCTCTTGTAAATGGGTCTCGTAATCTTCAACTTTTACCTTTGCTTCTAAGGGTAATTAATTGGATCTCCCTCTGTTCTCCCCACACACTCCCCTCTCTGTTACAAGGCTCATGTTAAGCTGGGTGGATGGCTTTTCTTTCTTTCTATTCCATGGGGTGCTTACTTTTAAAGCTGATAGAGTAAGGCTCTGCCCTCTCCAGTGAGCCCCTTCTCCAGAGAAGCCTGCTGGGGAAACACTTCTGTGGGCACTTGAAAGGGGGCCTATCATTGCACCACCCAAAGGCTTTTCAGATAGCCAGTTCTGAGTGACCATTTCATTTTTTTTCCCCAGATATGTTTCCAAGGTTTTAGGGAAGGAGCTTTCAGTCACAAAGTGGGGATTAAGTGGTGATCTGGGCACTGGAGACAAAGAGAGGCAAAAATGGGCATGGGAGAAAATAACACCCAAAAGATCAAAGAACTTTTTTCTTTCCAGGGTGAAGAAAAGCAGTAAGGCCTCAGGTGCAGGGCAGCATAAGGGCAACAGAGTAAGAGAGGTGACAATAGGGCCCATCCAGGGGCAGCTGGACAAGAGGCTGACATGGGAGTTGGGTCAGGCAGGCAGGAAGTTGAGCCCCAGAGAGATGTGATCTCTAGTTAATGGTGGACTTGTCTGATGCTTCTGCTGAATAATGAGCTCTTTGAAGCCAGGAAAAACATCATACTCCTGTCTGAATCCCGCTCAGCACCTAGCCCAGCAAATGGCACGTGGGCACTCATGATCAAATGAGTCACACTTACTGTTAAGGACAGTTGCATACCATGGGAGGTGGCTGTGAGAGGACTCCCTACTGGCATTGTTTAGAATTGCCAACTTAGTGGTGGATAATTAAAAACAAACCAACTTTTAGTCATTTTATTATGGTTTTAAAATTGTCTACAAACATTTACCATCCTACCCTTGCCATGCCACAGAGTAGGGAACAGGCTGCAAGCAGATTAAGAGCAAGATGAGTAACCAAAGTAGCTGTTTAATTCCTGATGGAGGATGTGGTCCTGGCAGTGGTGATGAATATGTGTATGTATGCGTGTGTGTGTGTGTGTGTGTGTATATGTGTGTGTGTATGTATGTGTATGTGGGTATCTGACAGAATTGGGGCCTTCCTTACTGAACCCTAATCCCATTTTCCACATATAATCACTGTTAACAGCATGATGGTATTCTTTCATATTATTTTAATATGTATATATTTACACAAAAAAATTATAATCATAGTGTATTATATTACATCTTTTTTTTGCTTAATGTATCTTAAATATCCTTTATTGGCAACGTATAGAATTTCTTCATGCTTTACAAAGCTCATAAAGTATTTCCATTGCATGGATATACCATGAGTTTATTTAACCAATTCTGAACTGATGGATATTTGGAATGTTTCCAGTATTTCACTATTATAAACAATATTGTAAGAGATTTGTGTATATCTTTGCCTACTTATGTATTGCTATAGCATAAAATTTTAGGAGTAAAATTGATTAGTTAAAAGCTATAAACATAAATGTTACTAGAAATTGTGTAATTATGCTTTTGAAAATCACCAATTTACACACTCCAAAAAGATGTGAAAGAGTCTGTTTCTCTACATATCCTCAGCCCTAAGTAATATCAATTTTTTCATTCTTGCCAATCTTACAAGTAAAAAAAAAAATAATTTTCCTTTGTTCTAATTTACATTTCTTTAATTGATAATGAGCTTAAGCATGTATTTATATTGTTTGTTGGTCATTTTATTTCTGCTCCTATGAATTGTCTATCCAGAAATTCTGCCTTTTTAGAAAAAATTAGGTTGTTTTCTTTTTCATATTGATTTGTAGCTCTTTGTATTAGAAATTTTAACTATTTGTTGTTCGCACTGCAAATACTTTCCCAGTTTGTCTTTTGAGTTTGTTCATGGTCCATGTCAGAGATTTATTGACTGAAAGTCCAAAGGTAGTTCAGGATTAGTTTAATTTAGTCACTAAAAAATGTCAAGGTTCTGTTTTCTTTCCTTCCCTTTACTCCACCTTTCATGGTAACAAAGCCATCCTAAATATCACTTCCCTCATGGTGGCTAAATGGCTGCTCTTTTTCCAGGTTTCATATACCTACTCTACACTGTGCAGAAACTGACTTCCAATGACCCTCTTAGAAGAGCAAGGAACTTTCTATTCCATAAGTCTCCAATATTTATAGCCCTAAATTGGATTACGTGTTGTTC